ATGGCGTTGAAATCTGCAACTACAGTGCTAGATGCCACTAAATCCTACACATTGGTCCTGTGAAGGACTTTTACTTGTAACTTTTACATTGTTGTATTGCCACCTTTACTTGGGTAAAGGATCAAAGTACTTTTTCCCCAACTCATCAAACTCTAAACCCTACATTATTTTAGTAATGCTTGGTTATATCCCAGAATATAAAAACTGTACACACCGCAGAGATAGAGAATGGTGCGCAGCAGCACATCTTTGCCCCGGGCCCTCATAACAGATGAATCCGGCCGTGCTCTGTGCGTAAACCAGGGGGCGCAAATCGGTTTGAACTGCGCGTAGACCTGGCGGCGAAGTTGGACGTTTCACACTTCAGTTTGTGCTGCTGACTTTGCTGTGGACAGGACTCAGGCGATGGGTGCGAGGTGAGAAGATAACAGCATTCATTACTTCACTTGTTTAAAGGCAGCAGCAGGTAACATCGATTCCCCGTATTGATCAGATGCTGCTGGAAAGCTGGCGCACTGTTGGTGCGATGTTTTTCTTATATTGCATCGATCCTTTCTGACACCTAGGAGACCGACATAAATAAGCTTTTTGTGTGCTCATTGTGTGCGTTTCATAACGCTGTAGTTGATTTATGAACAAAGTCAGAACTTTATTGAAGAGTTGAGGGAAGATGTGCTGTAACTCCTGAAAGGTGCCCCCCTTCCTCCTCCTCCTCCTCCTCTCAGCTCGGCCGATTACATTTTCTCGCTGCTTTCCCATGACATGCCAAGGTCTCTTTGCCTCCAATATTACATGCGTGATAGCGGAGTGCATGTATCGTGTTACAGTGGGATTTTTGGAGCTGCGTGTGTGTGTGTGTGTGTGCAGGCTTGGGGTTTGGCTGTCAGGCACGGGCGCGCATGTGCGAGCGTGCAGCATCGGCCCATTAGTTCAGCCCAGGGACCGTGGGAAATAAAGCTGTATGGTGTACTGCAAGTTCAGTATGGGCACATCAAAGAGCTCTCTCCTCTCTGTCTGTTCAGCCCTAACTCACAGGTCCTTCCATCTCTCACCCTGACTGTCCATTCCCCCTCTCCTTTTTTCATTCTGTCCAAGTGCAGCTCTTCACTTCTTTGCTTGAGTTTGCCTGCTTTTTCTGGGAAACCAATATCACTTTTATTTTTTCTCAGACTGTGTTGTTGGTGCCTTTGGTGGCTGGTAAGTTTTGGTTTTGCAATTAAATCCTGTCATGGTGTTTCTGGCATAACTATGGGTTTTGTTCTTTAGCCTCATTGTCCCTCGTGGAGCACAGCATGTCAGCTCCTTTGTTTGGCACTAATTTGAAAAGTCCCCCTGTTAACTCATGTTTTACTCAAGTTCAAACAGTTGGTCAATTAATGGAGTAAACGGTCAGTTTTGAAGCAAAAATTGCAAACTTTTGCTAGATATTGTTTGGTTGTGGATTGTTGGTAAAACAAGCAATTTCAATACGTCACCTTTTGACTCTGTTAACATATGACAACAGATAATGAAAAACTGGGGGAAATAAAGCTAAACAGGAATATGAATGAGCTCTTTTTATCTATAGACACTGCGTGTCGCTTTCTACAGAGGCCACCATGTTGGACCACCATGTTTTGCACATTTCACGGCCACCGTAATTTCTCCCTTGCGCTTGGAAAGGGAGGGTGAAGCGAGGGAGTTGCTACCTGCAATTACACTGCTAGTACAGTTGTTTGGAAACAATATCTTTGGGGCTAATAAATTACGAGGTATCAGATTGCTGCATAGAAACGCTAAGTTACTAACTACCTAAATACAGTATCTAGCTAGATTCCACTAAATCTTACACACTGGCCCTTTAAGTTGAAGGGTTTAAGTCAGAACCTGCTTATATTTAGTAACAGCTAATCAGAAATCAAAAGATTGCCTTACTTGAACCCTTGAACCCTTAGTTTTGTGTAAGATTATGTGCTGCAGTTGTTTTTGTATCTGGAATAATAATATCCAAATCTGCCTTACAAACCACAGCTGGTATGCTTGACATTGACTCTACTATAGTGCTCAGTGTCCTCATGAATGCTTGGTATGTGTTTGTATTTACAGTCACATTTTTTTCCCTGTATGCTGACATTATCAGTACAATGATGGAGGCAAATATTATAAATATATATATTTTTTAGTTTAAGCACAGGAGCAGCTTGGGAGGGGAATGTAGAGCTTCTCTACCGTGGGACCTATTAACATTCCCGAGTACACTGCCATGATGGGACCCTTTGATCTGGCCTCTCTGTGGTCATGTGTAACAAGGCTCTGGGCCCTATGAGACCCATCATGCAATTGGGAACTGCGCTGATTGATCTTAAAACTTGTCCGGGGGTGTAATTGCTCCTTTAGCTCGTGCTTGCTTCGTATCGCAAAGCTGCATAACAGTACTCGCAGTATAGGTCCCAAGACCGCAGCACAGTGGGATTTTTGACACACGATCCGGATCCATCATGAGTGTAAAAGTGTGAGTTATGGTGCCCGAGAGATCTGAGAGGCCAGCTCCATATTCAGCAACCTTAGATGCTCAGTGGGGTTTGTTATCTGTCTGTTTTTCCACGAAGCTCGACTGAAACAGCGTTTTACTCACTTGAGAGGCCGCTACAGAAGAGGGTCATGGGAATACAGGCTCGTTTTTTGTCTGTGGTAACATGCACTGCACCTGTTACAAGACCAGATCAAACACAAAAGTGCAGGCGTGTGTGCACATGTGCGCTGATAACACACAATTTTGTCAGGGATTTACAGCCTTTTTCCTGTTGTTACATTGCCTAACATCTCCCCTCTTTCATCTCCTTCTTCTCTCCTTTTTTTGTTTCTTCAGTCACATGGAGCCAGCAGAGAACCAGGCGGAATATGTCCAGGTAAGTCTGCTCTGTCCCGGTGTGTGTGTGTGTGCATCTGTAAGTGCCCTTGTCTTTGTCCTGAATATGTGGTATGATTGTACACAC